AATAACCGGGAGTGAATAGTTTTGATAAATTTGCAGCTTTTATAATTTGTCTTACTAACTTGTGCAATAAACAGATATCGATACATTTACCCCAAATGTTAAATGAATAGCTGATCAATGCTCTTTACTTTTATTTTATTTTATTTAAAAAGTAACTGATAGAAATGGCGGCGTTATTTAATCAGCATTAGAGACCAGGAGATGCGGTGTTAGATGATATACATTATAGTAGTGCATAGATTTGCACTTTAATTATACTTACTAGATTCAACTAACTGATAAATGCCTTCTAACATGAAATTCATTTCCAAGATATTTTCTCTTTTTTAAAATTGATCCATCTATAAAAATTCAATGGCTTTTATTTCTTTACCACGAACTTCCGATTTGAGACTTTTAGGGTGTGACATTTTTTTTTCCATTTGTTAAGCTAATGATAAAGTGGAATGAAAAACAAAATAATCGATGTTTTCTTAAAAAGAAAATACATTTTTATTTAAATTTTTCGATAAGTAAACACAAATTTCAAAAAGAAAAATCATAGTTATTCAAATTATTTAAAAAGATTATGTTTTTTTGTTTGGAAAATGAACATTTACTGAAGCATTAATAATTTGACTTATTATCTCTTCATTAGAAATTAAAAATGAATATATATATATATACATATATATATATATATATATATATATATATATATATATATATATATATGTACATATATACATATATCCTTTTTATGAAATTATGGACACCTAGTGCTGTTAAGTCAATAATAAAGCTGAGAACATAGTGCTTTGTTTTATCGAACAATTATCACGCTTAAATTGACCTTGCAAAATTTATATCTTCTTCATCGGTTAGTGTACACATACATAAGTGAAAGAATTGAGAAAGTCTTTCAATTTTGTTTATGAGAGAGACTCTGTTCACCATCATTCTATATTGATATTTATGAATCATAACTGAGCTTATACACTTTGTATGGTTTTTTATTTGGACATTTATGATAATCCTGATAGTTATTTTACAGTGACCATATAATGTTGTTTACTACAGTTATTTTGTCAACAATATCCGGAAGTTATCGACATAGTGACGATAATATTCACAGATACTCAAATATCATTGCAGTACAGGAACATAAGTTATCCAGTGTACCTATGAGCAAACTTGATGAAAGGAAATCATCTAGTCATAGTTGAGTGATGCTACCAGCACAAACTGCACTTTACTTATCTGCTTTGTAATCATACAAAAAAGACTTTTTCATCCACCCAGAGTATTCTAAACAACATACTAACAACTGCTAAAAAATTCATATGATAACTACAATTAGCAGTCATCGTTTTAGTTTATTCCGGAATCTAAAGGTTACTTTCTTAAACCAGACTGGGTCAGGTGATGTAGTCAATAGGCTACATAATACGATCCTGAATAGCATAAATTTATTTAGCCGTACAAATATATAAAGTTACCAAATAGTGTACTTTTCTTTACAGGAAGGTTTATCTGCTGTTAAGTAAATGTTGCACTAACGAAGTAGCTCTTCATAAACATTTCTTTATCCTCATTCATAGTTGATTAGAACCTTTACGTATAGTCTGAAAATTATATATTTTACAGAGTCCCCCCAATTTTTATTGTCGAGATGATATATATTTTGATTTTTCTTGTCAAACATAACATTACATGACGACTTGATTCACTAATGGATGTATATAAAAAAATAAGTAACTCTCAAAAGATTGAAAATAAGATAATCTCTTGGGAAGTTGATACTAAAAGAATTAGTAACATATAATTTTCCTCATGAAAAATAATTAAAATTATGCTTTTAGTTAGGTAAAAGATTTTCAGATTTTCCCATGTCACATATTCACATGCATGATTTTTTTGTTTCTGAGTAATGAATCTCAAATATATGCGTCTAGTTCATGTATTACGTAAATATTTGTAGATTTTGTATTGAAAGATAACTGATTGGCATTTTTCTGACCAAACTGAAAAAAAATATCAACCATAGAATAGATTTATCATGATTTTATATTAGAAAAGTAATTATATCAGAAAAAAAAATTCTAAAAACTAAATCAACTAATGCACTTAATACAAACTCAATATTTTTTATCAAGGAATATTCATTGACTGTGTGTTTAGTTTGTCACTAGGTATGCTTGAAGATATTCCGAGTTCACCTTAGTCGATAGACGCGAACGAGACAATTACCAGGATCCAGGTAGGCTAGCTTGATTCCAAAACTATAAAAGAGAAGTCTTGATAGGCGTGGGAAGTATATTCTACAAAGTCCAGCAAGCACAATACAATCAAGCACACAACTCTTGTTTATTTATGCATCATAGAAACGTCCTTGGGGCGGTAACAAAAATAGCACACTAAAATACACAGCAGCCAATCACAGCCACAGATTTTCCTGGGGGAGAATGAAATCTCAAGGTCAACTGATCAGCCCATGCTCGCAAACGTGAAATCCAAGATAAGACATTTATGAAGCGAGTTCTTGTGATATAATATCCCCAACACTGTGTTAAAATTATTCTCATTCCATGAGGTCATAATAAAGTCATCTGAAACATTATCATTAATGATAAAAACACTACGGAAGAAAAAGAATCCATTCCTCTTTGAAACTAGTAAATTAATCACACTGCAAATAAGTTAAACTTATTTGTACTGCTTATCTGAGTCTTCCCGTTGATATTTATGACTGCACCACTGCTAGCCACCTAACATCAGTTTATTTTATTGTTTTCTTATTCTACTTTCCCATTTATTTATTTCTCAGTGAAATAAAATATTTCTTAAGGATGAACAAGATTCTTATTACGTTCAGAACTACTAAACTTCTTGAATTCATTATCAGTTAAAAATATTATTATGCAAATTATTGACTTCCCTACTTATTTGAAATATAGTCTGTTATGCATTCACAGAATTCCCAATATCGTCACTCTCGATTTAAAAAGTAGGTATACGTTTATTTCTTAGCATGCAAATTTCTACTGAGACAAACGAAGATGTTTTGATAAAGGAAGAGGCTAGTGAAACTACTTGTACAAATACGTGAGGCTGTTAGTGTATAACCGTGTATGTTGTTTGCATGCCAATTGTTAATAACGGAAACTTTCAAGTTTGTGCTTTTCAAGGTTTCGATAATGAACATTACCAGTTTCTGTAGGCCAAACCAACCGAATTTCATCAATAATATGTTTCGACAATATATATTTATATATCTTAGTTCGGTAAATATAGTTCAATATAAATTAGTTCTAAAACGTATAACCAAATAATGGTAATTAAAATACTTTTCTAAGTAGGTAATTCATTTAAAATTATGGCCTTTTTTCTAAACGTTCCAGATAACTAATCATTTTTACCCAGCTTTGTCACTTATCAACTGATAGTTTACGAAATTATTTGTAGGTATCATACTTAAACGATACTGATGGAGTTTTTCAATTTAATCATATCATCAGACAACTAGTTTCAGGTTTTAATATTTTGTCTCTTATGTTTTAAAAGACAAATGAATATGTTTATTAATCTATAAATAAGTAATTTCCAAGTAACTTGCAAAATATTTTGAATTTGGTCCAATAATTTAAATTCCTTTAAATCTGAGAAGGGAACTTCTATTTTGTTTCGTTCGAAAGCTTGAAAATGAAATAATTTAAACCTGTTATTGTTATTTTCTTAGTATTTAATTTGGTTACGTGACATCTTGTTTGATCGGAAAGAAAGTTTAATAATGAAAATCAATCAGCAGAATATTTCATAACTCATTATTTTATGTTTATTTCAGTTACCATAAAGAAAATATTCATTTTGTCGAGAGACTGGTTGTCGATCAACTTTTTTTTTAATAATTTAATAATAATAAAGCGCATTATATAAATTATTCACATTTTTAAAACTTTTATTTCCTAATTATCGACAGCAAAAATGTGATTTCTTTGTTACATAAAGCGGAATTATTTACCAAAACTTGATAATTTTATAACATTTTTTTGAAAATCACTTTTGTACGCAACGTATAATTTGCAAATGTTAATCATTTTTTTCATAAGTGTATAAGTTGAATAGAAGACGGATTCAATTATATTACTGTTTAACGACATAATATGATTACGACTGACCTTTACAAACAACTGGAAAATTAACTATCCTTGTTCAACTGTGTTATAAAGAAAATTATAGCAGAATAATTTACAAATGACTCTAATATCATTTTACTGTAGCAAATATGTTGTGCGCTTTTCCACTTATCGACATGACTAAATTAATGTCACTATGAACATCCTAGAAATCAACCATGTTTAAAAGGGAAATAAATTCTGGTGTTTTTTTCTATATATTTTAAAATCGTACAACAAATACTGGATAGTGTATTTTATGTCATTAGTTATATTATATATTAACAAGTTTTAATCATGAACAGAAGTTGCGTTGACAGACAATAAACTATTTTAAATTCTACGGATGACTAAATAAATGAGTGAAATTTATGTTAATAAAATTAAAAACAATAATTAACGAACAACTGTGTATCAGTATACTTAAATTTAACTCTCATTGAAGCCTATTTTTCAACAAATCGCTTGCAAATTATAAATCAAAAAATTAAAACAAATAAAATTGCTGTTGTCAAGACACTCTTCACTTTCAGCAAACATAAACTATGTTGGTCGTATAATTATTGAAGAATGTGTACTGATTTTTTAACTAATACTTCGTAGATTCGTACTGTTAAAAGTAAGACTAGTTTCAATACTTCTGGACTTATTATATTTGAATGCATAATTTCGCTAGTAGTATTAATAAAATCGAATGTATCTGTCATAAAAAAAAACTTAATGCCACTAAAACATTTGTACAGATTTCATGTTATCAAATCTTCTAAATAAATCTTGCCTCAATCTAAGCAAAAAAGAATGGCCAATATTGAGCATCTTATCTCAACTGAAGTAAAAAGTGCTTACCTTGATATGTAAGTGATGTTTTCTCTAAATTGTCCGCATATCAATGCATTGATTAAACATAAAACAATAACAATCATTATGAAATTGTCAGCATTTTATTATATGACATAATATATCAGCACAAGTAAACTGAATTTCATTGTTATTTCATTGTTACAGTAAATTATATTGATGAATCTATGTTCCGTATACTTTTGACGAGATCTTATTTATAAATTATCATAGCATAACTCGTATCAATCTACGTCTGTTGAAAAACCTCGGATTAATTAACTTCATTGCATTTAACCACCTTGCTGACAGATAGATAGATAGATAGATAGACAAATACATTTGTCTTAAAGCTGATTGGTTAATTGTCATTAAAAAAATATAAAATAAATTGAACAGATTAACCATGAAAATGTTGAAAGAAATATGATAAACATTATCGGGTAAACGCATAATTACTAAAAAACAAGCCTTATACAACTAACTATCAAATAACATTTGAAAAAATTCCTTGTATATTATTTTGTCAATGATGTATTAGAGATGGTTGCCATTTAACGTTTTATTTTTGGAAAGTTATCATTTGTACAAAATAACAAATTAGCATTCTGTTTATGATATATATATATATATATATATATATATATATATATATATATATATATATATATATACAAATTAACATTCATAAGATAATTAACCAAGGCATTTAATAATTACAACGGTCATTCTCTGACAGGTGTACAATAAATTCACTGATTTAGAAAACTAATTGATAAAAAGCCAATTAAGGTCATTTGAATCGGTTAAGTATATTCATTTAATATAAATGAGTTGTTGACAAGTTGAACATGATCATTCAGTGCTTGTATTTTTTCTCTTCGTTTGCTTATGCATGCATACGAGTGTCCATGTGTGTTCTTGTCGGTTTATGTAAACAACAATGACATTTATTTCAGAATCGGTTTTTTTTTTATTTTCAAATTTCATGTCAATTAGATAAATTAAGAGCGCATGATGACTTTCGTTTCGTGATTCTCATGAATGAATGATATTTTTCAAAAATACATACTGTTGGTATAGATATATATATATATATATATATAAATATGCATGAGCAGAATAATTTCAAACCTTGTTTGTCATAATTTAAAAGCTTTGACTATCCATTATAAATTGCCAATGTTCAATTAAGATAAACTGTAAACAATATTCTATCTAATTCGTTCATATGAAATACATTTAATTGTTTATCTAAGAAGTGATTTATGTTTGTGCTTTGTTAAGTAGGATTTAATCAATTTCTAGGTAGGAATTCAATGAATTAAAACTTTATCACTGTCATCGTTTAACTAGATTAAACTGATTGTGAAGATATTATTTTGACATAGATTAACTAATTAATGATAAATAAGGAAGGATACCAGTTACACTATACTCATTCAGTTTTAGCATCATATCAACTATGTAAGGAATGAGAGATTATTATTGAAAAAATTACTGATATTTACCAACAATTTGAGTTTGATACCAAGGAAATATTATGTTTGGGCGTATGAAAGCCCTAGTGTTGCACTTTATTTATAAATCTGTTTAACTGTCTTGAACCGATCAGAATCTAAGATAAATGTTCAATCTGTAGTAACACAAATCCTAGTGATGATGACGACGATCATAATAATGATCATAATAGTAATAAGCCTCCTGTTTTATCTATTGTTTGTTCTAAAAGAATGATAAGAATTCGTTTCATTTAAGATACTATATAACGTAGGTTCTATCTAATGTAAAGATATAATTACTGACTTTTCGTAACAGTTCTTTGTATCTAGAATTGGATCATCCTGTAAATTACTGAGAACCAGATAAAGAGGAGTAAGGTTCACTATCGAACAGAGTCACAGTTCAGTGACACATCTGGTTGACAGAGTTTTAAGGTTAGACACCATGATACTAGTTATCATTTAATAGTCAACTGATGCGGAAAATCATGAAGGCGTTTTTTATTGTGAACTTACAACAAGTAGTAGAGATTTAAAGACCAGACACTGTTGAATAGCTATGTTGTTTTATTTTTAGGTTATTCAGAGATCTACATCAGTATCATATTGAGCCCTCTATGGTGCTGAGTTTTCGAATCGTTGTCAAACCATCCAGATGAATGCTGGGTACTTCAAAGGTTCAAATTTCATAACTTCTACAAACAACCAAGTCGTAATCATGATCAAAGTCGATAATATCTGTACACAAAATCGGTTTGCATTGATAAATGCTAAACCTGATACACTGAAACGTTGGAGCTAAACTTAATGATCACGGTGCATTTCTTAAACTGTAAGACCCAGATTTCACGAATTCATTCATTTAAACTATGACAATATGACTACCTGTTACTATTCTGTTTTCAGTGGTTAATCAGTTCATCATTCCTTGATTAAATCTACCTTCGTATTGATCACAGGTTACGTAACGATCTGCAATTATTGATGAGAAATAATTTGAAAATTACAGTCATCTTAAATAATGTGGTATTTCAACAAACACTACTGTACATCACAGTGTTTTACCTGTGAATGGTGTTATTTAAAATAGTTTGGAATTTGTTATGAAGCACTGATTACTTGGTAAAAATATCTATCGAAATGATGAGCAAGGTTCTAAATAACTTACACAAATGATCATAGACAAACTTACGTAACCATTTTGGTCCACATATTTCTTAGTAATGAACCCAAACAATTTGCTGTTTTTAAGAAAGGTATTACACTACTTACCAAGTAGTCAAAGCACTTAACCAACTACATTCTTGTGTCTCTGGGTTTGTTGTAAGACGTTAATAAACAATAATAAGACAACACCAATACTGATGAATTAAGCTATGATTATAGTTCATAGTTAATTCTACCATTTGGTTCTATTTAACTGAACCTAATTTTCGAATTTTCGGACTCGGTTTTTGAATTAACTAAGTATCTGATATTCATAAAGTAGTACTTTTCATTAATGTTCCAATAAAACTGAACAATTAACGCTTCAAACTTTGATTGGAATCTGTTGATGTAAGCTAAAAGTAAACTATGAAAATTCTTCAGTGTGTATTTTGTGTATCATGAATGAAATTGATTTTCTTTGTATATATCAGTAGTTCAGTTCTAAACTACTAACTATTGCAAACTAGAATGAATTGAATAGACAGTTTAATATTGATAAGATTTATTAAGCTAATCTATTTGTGCTTGGAATATTCCAAAAAATATAAAGTACTGACAGGATTGAATCTGAATGGTACATAACTTTTATTGTACAACATTATAATGTTTAGCAACTAGGGACAGGTCTAGTGAGTGGTGTGATCTAATCTACCAGTTTTCACTATCAAAAGTTAATTTCCTCCTAGTTTTCCGCGTGACCGGTTATTTAAGAAATATCCAATCTAATTGATTTTAATAGAGATAATTATTTTCATTTAAACCTTGTTGTTATAAACACATACAAAAATCATTTTAAGTTTAATAAATGTCTGTTAGCTTGAAAATTTCTAGAATAACAATATATATATATATATATATATATATATATATATATATATATATATATAACAGGAATACTCATACGAAAAAAATCTAATCAGTTTATGCAACTATACGTTCAAATTCTTGACATAGAAACTGATGACTAGATTTACGATAAACATTGGCTGTATTGAGTAGATATTTAACTGGGCTCCGTAAGTAGAATATACTTTCTAGCATTTTAATGACCAATATGTCAGGCATACTTGAAGTGCATTAAATTTCACTGTAGCATTAAGAAATGAGATGCGGAGAGGTGATATTGATAATAAAATTATCAACCGTATTATATATTTGTTTGGTAATTACTTAGTGCATGAATGATATAATATATAATGGTGATTTTTTGAATTATTTTTTGGTTAGTATTTCTAAATAAGCCCTTTTTAACAAAATTGGGTTGCTAATCCTGATCTTATTGCTCCTTTATGAGAGTTTGAACAGTTAGTAACTACAGAATGGCTGTAACTGAAATTATCAGTAGATGATGATGAGTAACATATCAATAAGAATAGGTGTATTTTCACCATAGGATGATTGCAATTAGCGAAATGTTCAAAATAAGACGCATTAAATAGATGTTATGCTTTAGTTTGAGACCTTACTGAAATATCCACGAAACTCAGGACTTTGGGGTCCAATAGAGAAGCTGATACTATCAGACTACCGAATTGAAATCAACTGATTCACATGTCTGACTACAGTGAATTTTTGCAGACACGAAATCCGGTTTGACTGTGACTACAATCAGTCAAAGTATTAAGAGACTGATCAGTTTTGATAAATTACGATTAATACAATAAACTGTTGCAACTGCGTTTACTTTATGTTACATTATTATGAGGTTGGCGACCTCATCACATAGAAAACAAACTAACCGAAAAATTGCTAAACGTCTCTTGATGAAAGCCGAGTTCCACCGAAGGTCACGGGGCCGATGCCCCTTTTCACAATCAGAGCAACCATTATTTGACTTATATGGAATGCTCATACAATGTGAAAGACTTGAAGACTCATCCAAAGTGCTGCAGAAATAAAAAATATACAGCCTGGTGATGCTTTGAAAAGTGAATCACAATGGTAGGATGGCAAAAAAGATTAGCTTCAGAAGAGCTGCTGTCATACTCCGAACTTGAAGAAGAAAAAGCTCCACACACAGGGAGTTTCAATGGTGCTGTACAAAGAAGCCTAGAAAGCACTTTTGAGGTGAGAATTTCTTCGCCTATCAATCAAAAGAAAGAAAGAGTGGATCACAGTTAATTTCATTGAGTGCTGTGCTCCTACCAACAGGTAACAATGAGGACGGCGAATATCAATTCTATAAGGGGCTGCATTCAACTGTCAGCAGATGATTAGCAAACCTTTTGACTATACACATGGAAGGCGTAACCACCAAGGTTGGCATAGTTATGATGATATCATGGTATGACATAGAGTGAGAGAAATGAACGAAAACGAAAAGAGATTTTCAACAAACTGGACATAAGCGGCACAATATCCCCACATAAATGAATACGAAAGATCACGTAGATATCACAGGATCACACTACATGGAACTAAATCGATCATATCTGCATCAATAAAACATTCAGAAGGAACATGGAGGGCGTGAGGAACAAGAGAAGGGATGATAAAGCCTCAATTCATT